CATCCCAGATTCTTGTGAAGCGGATACACATATTTGCAATCAGTACGACAATCGAGATGCCATCCTGATGGATGCTATAGCCCAAGACATCTGAAGGGCCATAGGTCCCCACCACTCCTCTAGAACAGGCACATCCAACTCCCAAGAGACAGCGATCTACTCACAGTATATATTTAAAAAAAACAGACGGCGATCTACCCATTGTCTTTGGAGAATGGACCAGAGTTGTTGAGCTTTTTGTAAGGAGCCAGAGTGTGGTGGGGGATTTTTTTGGGGGGAGAGAGATTTTTAAGGGTCCAAAGATTGACCACGATTGACCAGGAACACCCTGCAATCAACCAGTGGTGGATCACGATCGATCTGTTGGACATGCCTGCTCTAGAATTACCGTACTTTTCACTCTATAAGACACACCAGACCACAAGACGCACATAGTTTTTGGAGGAGGAAAACAAGAAAAAAAATATTCTGAATCTCAGAAGCCAGAACAACAAGAGGGATCGCTGCGCAGTGAAAGCAGCGATTGCTCTTGCAGTTCTGGCTTCTGGGATAGCTGCGCAGCCTGCATTCGCTCCATAAGACACACACACATTTCCCCTTACTTTTTAGGAGGGAAAAAGTGAGTCTTATAGAGCAAAAAATACGGTAATTTCCTGGACTTTTGACACAGAGTTACATTTACCACGGGCCCCTATTCCAAGCCCCCTATTTCTTTCATAGGTGGTTCATGCAAAACTTTAAACACATCGCCAAAGCTGGAACTCTAAGGTAAGTTCTGAAAGAGATTATGGTATATCTTTCGGAACTCAGAACATAGGCACAGTGATTACAATACATTGTTTCACACGCAAATAATTCATAGCTGGTGCGCAAATTGTAATGCCTTGTAATCAGCATAAAATACAAGGTATTTCCTTGTCAACGGAAGAAGAAAAAACTTAGAAGTGTTTCCTAGGGCTCTTTCTCAACCACCTACACTGATGTTGCATCTTGTGGATGAAAGAATACTCAGCTTGTGAAGCAGCATTATCATGAAGGGAAATGTGTCTGTAATCAGCTCTCTTCTAAATCAATCACACGGCACACAGGTGTCTAGGGTTTATGGTGTTAACAGAGCAATAAAAATGAAACACTTGCAGAGTACCTGATTTACATCATCAGCATGTGCTTGTTTTTAAAGGAGAAGGGAGAAAGCACTGATCAAGCATTTGTAGAAGCTTGGAAAAGACCACACTGGCCCAAACACACATTGATTTCAGAACCAAGGACTCTGAGGGGCATCTAAGGTAGGGTAGTCCAATGACCACATGTGGCCCTCTCCAAGGCCTTTCTTTGGGGCCCTCAGAAACATCTGACAGGGTCCTAGAGTCCTCCCGCATCCTTCCCAGGATGTAGTAGTACTCTAAGGCAGGCTTCCTCAAGCTCGGCCCTCCAGATGTTTTTGACCTACAACTCCCACGATCCCTAGCTAGCAGGACCAGTGGTCAGGGATGATGGGAATTGTAGTCTCAAAACATCTGGAGGGCCGAGGTTGAGGAAGCCTGCTCTAGGGCTCTGCCAGAGCTTTGCAACACTTTTCCAAAGTAAATAGTTACTTCCCAAAGTAAGTAAGGTAAAGGTAAAGGGACCCCTGACCATTAGGTCCAGTCGTGGCCGACTCTGGGGTTGCGGTGCTCATCTCGTTTATTGGCCGAGGGAGCCGACGTACAGCTTCCGGGTCATGTAGCCAGCATGACTAAGCCGCTTCTGGCGAACCAGAGCAGCGCACGGAAAAGCCATTTACCTTCCCGCCAGAGCGGTACCTATTTATCTACTTGCACTTTGACGTGCTTTCAAACTGCTAGGTTGGCAGGAGCAGGGACCGAGCAACGGGAGCTCACCCCGTCGCGGGGATTCAAACCGCCGATCTTCTGATCGGCAAGTCCTAGGCTCTGTGGTTTAACCCACAGCGCCACCCATGTCCCTTCCCAAAGTAAGTACTTACTACCAAAGTACTTACTTCCCAAGTAAGCCCAGTGCATCACTTACCCAGCTTTGGGAAAGCAGAACGAGGGCTGCAGAGGAGCATCAAATTTTGGCCTGACCCCTCACTCCTGCACAACACAGCAGTGTGCAGCCAGCGGGTTCCATGTTGAAGTACCCATTTGATATAAAAAGTTGGACTGCCCTGATCTATAAGTAAATAAGCACACCATCACCACTGTTTACCAAATACACCACTCCCTTTATGCCCTACTGCTTTATCTTCTATATTATACCCATACTTAACACAGCAGAGTATAACGTATGTTTAGCAGCTCAATAAACAATCTGAAATAGCGACCGCCCATTATGGTGGAGGGGGAAGAGGACTGGGAGGGGCGATTTGTGTTTGCAAATGTTTCGTGGCAAAAATCAAGGCAGGAGACTTTATTATCATATTGCAGAACCACTTGGAAGGCCAAAACCAACCATCAAACCTCATGACTCTCCGAACTGTTCATGTAAAAGTTATCGGTTTTTTGCTACTCCATGGTTTGTTTTCAATTAGTGTGATGCTTCTACTTTAAGTATGGCTATAAGATGAACATACAAAGCTGTCCGGTATATCTAGCCCTATATTCTCAACATAGATATTGCCTATCATTGAGCAGATGGATGTCCCAAACCTAAAACATACAATGCTGCATCCAGCCTTGCCAAGCATTGGACTTGGCATGGTTCATAAAGAATGCATTCTACCATTGAGCTATAGTCCTGGTCCAGTAAGAAACACTTGCCATTGGTGAATCAAACCCTGGTTTCCCGCACAATGGACATACATGTTCGCTGCTCTACTAACAATGAGAAGGGTTCTCCATTTATCAGAGCCTGCAACTCATTGTAGTAAGGCATGGGTAGGCAAACTAAGGCCCAGGGGCTGGATCTGGCTCAATCGCCTTCCAAATCCGGCCCACGGATGGTATGGGAATCAGCGTGTTTTTACATGAATAGAATGTGTCCTTATATTTAAAATGCATCTCTGAGTTATTTGTGGGGCCTGCCTCGTGTTTTTACATGAGTGGAAAGTGTGCTTTTATTTAAAATGCATCTCTGGGTTATTTGTGGGGCACAGGAATTCACTCATTATGATTTTTTCCCCTCAAGATTTTTTCCCTCAAGATCTGAGGGACAGTGGACCGGCCCCCTGCTGAAAAAGTTTGCTGACCCCTGTACAGTCATACCTCAGGATGAATACGCTTCGGGTTAGGCAAATTCGGGTTGCGCTCCACGGCAACCAGGAAGTAACGGAGCACGTTACTTCCGGGTTTCACCGTGTGCGCATGCGCAGACTGTCAAAATGACATAACGCGCATGCACAGAAGCGCTGAAACATGACCCGCGCATGCGCAGTCGCACGGACACGGGTTACATTCGCTTCGGGATGCGAACAGGGCTCCAGAACAGATCCCGTTCGCATCCTGAAGTACCAGTGTAGTTTGGTATCTGAAGAAGTGTGAATGCACACGAAAGCTCATACCAATAACAAACTTAGTTGGTCTCTAAGGTGCTACTGGAATAAATTTTTTTTATTTTGTTTCCCCTGTAGTAATGTATCCCCATGAACAAAAGAGATACTTTAAAAATAGAAAAGATTCACAAGCAGTAACTCAGGTGGAATATGAAACTATCTGTTTAAGAAAGAGAGCAGAATTTGATGATCATCCTTGAGCAAGGAACCAGCAGCTGTCTAGATGATACAACTCCAGTCATTGGCTATGGTGGTTGGGGCTGATGGGATACCAAGTCCAACAACCTCTGGTGGGCCATACATTTCCCGACCCATCTCCTATAGGAAATACAGAGCCAAGACACAACAGAGGCTTACCTCTGACCCACCCACTTTCACACCATCCAACATACTGGGATCTTCAGAAGAAGGAACCAGAGGCAGCAGCTTTGCCAGTCAGTCTTGTATGAATGACAAGAGGAAAACAGCATAGGGACAGAGCATGTTCTCCAGTTGCAAGGTGGACTCAAAGCAACTTCCTACAGCTGAATGCTCTCTGCCCAGCCTACAACATTAAAAGGCACATGGAGCTCAGCCATCCCATTTTGGTGACTTCACCATTTCTCCTCCAGCAGTTGCCAGGAATGCGGGGCAGCGCGAGAACTCAAAACGAGACGGATGGAGATGGACCTACATAGCAATTGCTGTTAGATGCTACAGACTGGGTTAAGATCATTCATCACAAGGAGGTTGGTTTTGCTGGCCATCAGCTTGGCAAAATCATAATGAATGCTAGAAAGTGACAGACAAGTCCAGTGATGCAGACTTTAACAAGTCTATGGCCCTTCAGTTTAGGAATCTTTAGTCACCTGTGGTAAGTAGCTCAGAAATGAAGAAGAAAAATAGCTAAGTTAACATGGAAGTTAGCGGCACTGCAAAACCCAGGACACTTAAATTAGAATAAAGGCCCGTTGAAGCGGTAAACAAAATAGAGCCGTACGTCTAACCTTCCGATTGTAACAATTCATACAAACATATTTGGCAGTGCTGTTCTGAGTATTATTTGCAACCTCTTGTCTTCCTGGTACTCAAGAGCTGCTATTGGCTGGACAACCTATCAGCTCCCAGGGAGATCTTACGATGGTGCTATATAAATCTAATACTGTAAATAAATAAAAGTTTGGCATTGCTATTTGCAACTAACGTTTTGCCTTTATAAACACTTCAGCCACACATAAAACACAACAGTTTTTTTTCCCCTTAAAGGAAACCAGACAATATGTTTATAAGCAACATTGATGAAGGGAAATTGGCATGGAACATCACAATCCCATCGCTCATCTTATGCTGTGGTGTCATTTTTGACAGCAGTCTACCATCTACATGAAAAGGCCATTCAAGCAACTGGCAATGCGCTTCCGTCTCAAAATATGCACGCATGCAGCAGAAGGATGCATGCAATCACCTTGCAGGCAGAAGCCACAGGAGGCGACTTTGCCTTGCCTTGTTACAGGTAAAGAACATTCCTTACCTTTTCTTTGGTTCTCAGGTATCTCTGGAGAGCCTGCTGTGTTAAGTCTCTAACCGGGATCTGTCCATCTTTACAGGGAACCACAATCCCCGTCTTGCCAAAGCAAACCGTCACTTTCATCTCATCCAAATAAAAACCTATTTAGAGGCCTGTTGTTGTTGTTGTTTATAAAAAACGAGGGGTTTCAAAAGGAAATGATGGGGGGGGAGAGAGAGTTGTGGGCAGCCTTGCCAGCAAAGCGAGCAAAATAACATTCACTTTCCAACTCTTAAAACAGATCCTAAGCCTCACTGTTTGGGGGCAATGGGGGTGGGGGGAGAAAAAACTAAAAGCTCCTCTGAGCAGCAGCAGGTGTTTAAGGAAGGGGGAGAAAGAGAGAGAGAGAAGGAAAGAGGGCCAGAACTGCTGGAGGGAGGGAAACAGGCCCGGGAGATGGAGGCAGGCCAAGCAGCCCTGAAGGCTGAGGCAAAGCGCAACGGCAACAAAGGTCACACGCGAGTTCTCCAATGGAGAGGGAGAGAAAGAGGCAGAGTAAGGGAAGGAGGGATCGAGGCAAACTGGGTCTGCCCTATGGAAGCCAGCTGCACGCACCACGGAGGGGGAAGAGAGAGGGTGGCGGCGGCCTCCGTCTCCTGCGCGCACAAACGCGGCGGCTGGGAGGGAGTTGGGAAACGGCGAAGGCGCGCAACGGCGGCGGCGGCGACCCCGAGGGCGAGGGAAGAGGGCGGCCCTTGGCTCCCCCCCCCCACCCGCCGAGCCTTCCCCACAGGCTGCTTCCCCAGAGGCGGAGGAGGCGGCCAAAACCGGAAGGGAGAGATTGGAAGCGTCTGTGCGCCCCAGGGGAAGAAGCGCAGGCCGAGCCTTGGAGAGGGGCGCGCCAACGCGGCGAGGCACCTCGGGCTCGGAGGGAGGGCAGCTTGGGAACGGCGGGGGGGGGGTTCTTTCCTTCCTTCCTTCCTTCCTTCCTTCCTTCCTTCCTTCCTTCCCGCCGCCCGCCCCCTCTCTGTGGGGCAGCTGCCTGGGCGCCCCGACTCCCGCCCCTTCCCGCGTGCGCCCTGCCCGGGTCTCTCCACCCGACTCCTCGCGGCTCAGCGCCCAGGCACCCCGGGAAGGGAAGGCACGGCTCTCGGTCGTGGGGGGTGCGCAAGGTTTGCGCGCGGGCTTGGCTTCCTCCCGCAGCAACGGCAACAGCTTAAAGGGGCCGCGGACACCTCCTGGGCCAGCCGGCCGCCCTCCCGCTCCTCCTCCTCCTGCAGCGAGCGTTTTAAATGCAATCTCCGTAGCACCGCAGCAACAAGTCCTCTCGCCAGGGCGAGGCGAGGCAGAGGGAAACTATCCGCCGCTTGATCTGCTTCCCACCAAGTTGCGATTTTTTGTTTTTTCCGAAACTTTGTTGACATTTTTAAATACAGTGTTGCCTTCCAAGACACGAGCAGCTGTGAAGTGTTGCAGGCAAACTTTGACGCTGCGCGGACTGCAGCAAAGAGCAAACTTGGGGGAATCTTCCGCATTTACAGATCCCAGTTCTGAAAGCGCATATGTATTCTTCCATAGAGTTGGAAGGGAGGAAAGGGTCATCTAGTCCAACCCCTGCAGGAATCTTAACACGCGGTTCCCCCATCCGATTTGAAACCGGACCGGAGCCTGCTTAGCTTTGCAGATTTCTCCTTGGTGCAGATTACTATTTGTTAACAGACAATGCGAACCAGCCAAGTTGACTCGGAGAGGTTAGCCTGCTTTCTGTGATCTTCGTCACATTCGCCAGCTGCGGGACTGTGCAAACCCTTTGTCTTTATGTGGCAATTAAAGGCAAAGGTAAAGGTAAACCCCTGACCATTAGGTCCAGTCGTGACCGACTCTGGGGTTGCAGCGCTCATCTCGCTTTATTGGCCGAGGGAGCCGGCGTACAGCTTCCGGGTCATGTGGCCAGCATGACTAAGCCGCTTCTGGCGAACCATAAAGCACGGAAACACCGTTTACCTTCCCGCTGGAGCGGTACCTATTTATCTACTTGCACTTTGACGTGCTTTCAAACTTCTAGGTTGGCAGGAGCAGGGACCGAGTAATGGGAGCTCACTCCGTCGCGGGGATTCAAACCGCCGACCTTCTGATCAGCAAGTCCTAGGCTCCGTGGTATAACCCACAGCGCCACCCGCGTCCCTTTATGTGGCAATTAAGTGGCACCAAATTCACAAGTATGGCCTGGTGGCAATAGTATGCATACTTCCCATGGCAATAAGCAGGGCTGGCCCATGCATGAGGCAGGGTGAGGCAAGAGCTTCAGGCAGTGGGATCCATAGGCAGCAGATCCCAATGTAGACCTTCAGGCACTAAAAGTCTCGAGTCAGCACTCATAGGGACTGCAAAGGCTATTCTGGCAAATAGGTGCTCCGACCATTTTGATGGAGCAGTTTTGTGTTGCTTACACAGAACAACCATTGCTCCTTAGGTAAAGGTAAAGGGACCCCTGACCATTAGGTCCAGTCGTGACCGACTCAGGGGTTGCGGCACTCATCTGGCTTTATTGGCTGAGCGAGCCAGCATACAGCTTCCGGGTCATGTGGCCAGCAGGACTAAGCCGCTTCTGGCGAACCAGAGCAGCACATGGAAATGCCGTTTACCTTCCCGCCGGAGTGGTACCTATTTATCTACTTGCACTTTGATGTGCTTTCAAACTGCTAGGTTGGCAGGAGCAGGGACCGAGCAACGGGAACTCACCCCGTCGCGGAGATTCGAACCGCCGACCTTCTGATCGGCAAGTCCTAGGCCAGGGGTCTGCAACCCGCGACTTCGGAGCTGCATGTGGCTCTTTTACATCTTTGCCGCAGCTCCGGGACGGATACTAGCGAGGGGAGGAGGCGCATTGTGCGCCCCGACACTCCTCACTGTGGCGGGCGCTGTACTGGCTGTGACGTCGCATGGGGGCAGTGCGTGCGTTAGTCACGCACCGTCCCGACGTCACCTTCCCGCCCGCTGTCAGATCGCGGCTCCGGAGATATATTTGTTTTAAATGTCGGAATGGTTTTGCGGCTCCCAGTTGTTGTTTTTTCTTCGGAAACGGGTCCAAGTGGCTCTTTTTGTCTTAAAGGTTGCAGACCCCTGTCCTAGGCTCTGTGGTTTAACCCACAGCGCCACCCGTGTCCCTTTATGTGGCAATTAAGTGGCACCAAATTCACAAGTATGGCCTGGTGGCAATAGTATGCATACTTCCCATGGAAATAAGCAAGGCCAGCCCATGCATGAGGCAAGGCAAGGCAACAGCCTCAGGCTGCGGGATCCACAGGCAGCAGATCCCAATGTAGACCTTCAGGCACTAAAAGTCTCGAGTCAGCACGCATAGGGACTGCAAAGGCTATTCTGGCAAATAGGTGCTCCGACCATTTTGATTGAGCAGTTTTGCGTTGCTTACACAGAACGATTGCTCCTTAGGGTGAAAGAAATGCACTGAAAAAGGAGGGTTGGTGAGCAGCTGGAAGGGTTTCATTCTAGGATTCTGCACATGCCCTACATAAGAGATGTGCAATGCAATACATTTACTCAGAAATAAATCCCACTGTGAAGGCAATATGGTTTATAGAAGCTGTAATCAATCATAACTGTACTCCCAGTTGTTTTTTTAAAAAAACATCCAAATTAACTAGCGCCCTACATTATTTTCCTTTAAAATGTTTAACGTGTTTAATGTGACTTAACAGTCAACTATTTAGAATGACAACAACAACAATGTATAAAAACAATAAAATCTCTATGAGTAAAATAGCAGCAAAAGAAAATAGACGATTAAAAGCTCAGGAGATTAACACTGCCTTGGCCTGCTGCTTGAAGGTTAATGAGACTGGTGGTGAGGTTCTCTTTCTTGGGATGATATTCCATAACCAGGGTGCCACCACAGAGCAGTCCCTATCTCTGGTGGTAATCGACTTAACCTTTGAAGACACAGGGTTACTTAGAGTAGTTTGGCACCCATTGGAACTGGTAGGGTGGCAAACAGAACATGAAGCCAGAACGAAAGACAGGCAGAGGTACCCCCTCACTGGCTGTAAGCAAGAAGGCAGGCAGGCAGGGGTAAATTGTGATTGATGGGGTACTGTGGTGTAGTGGTTAAGAGCGGTAGACTCGTAATCTGGGGAACCGGGTTCGCGTCTCCGCTCCTCCACATGCAGCTGCTGGGTGACCTTGGGCCAGTCACACTTCTCTGAAGTCTCTCAGCCTCACTCACCTCACAGAGTGTTTGTTGTGGGGGAGGAAGGGAAAGGAGAATGTTAGCTGCTTTGAGACTCCTTCGGGTAGTGATAAAGCGGGATATCAAATCCAAACTCCTCCTCTTCTTCTTCTTCATTCACTGTTATAGACCACACTCCCATTACCATTATTACTCGGTTGCTTTGTAAGGAAGAAAGTAGGGTCACACTTGTGGAAGTACATTTCCTTATTCCTAGAAACAGCTGCAGTGGCTTTCCTGGCACAGTTCCAAGAGCTGGTATTGACCTTTAAAACCACATTGTTTGGGTCCAAAGTACATGATCACTGAATTCATTGCTGGAGGTTGTTCCACTGTATGAAGTGAAAGAAGGATGTGAGCCTTCTTGGTGGTGGCACCTAGCCTGTGGGATGTTCTTCCTGCAGAGGCTCATTTGGTGCCCATGTGATCTTTTTTGCATCCCATACAAATACCTTTTCTATTTCCCCAGGCCTGTTCAGAAGTTTTAACCCTAAGCAAATAAGTTTTATTTTTTTTAATGCTGCTCTTACCTACTATGACACAAACAGGTATTAAAACACTTCCAGCACTCTGAAGCTACTCTGATGATGATGCCAACCAAGGCTGCGATCCTAACCGCTTGTCTGAAAGTAAGACCGATTGAATTCAATAGGACTTACATTTGAGTAGGCATGTTTAGGATTGCATTGTTGTTGTTTAGTCGTTTAGTCATGTCTGACTCTTCGTGACCCCATGGACCAGAGCATGCCAGGCACTCCTGTCTTCCACTGCCTCCCGCAGTTTGGTCAAACTCATGCTTGGTAGTTTTGAGAACACTGTCCAACCATCTCGTCCTCTGTCGTCCCCTTCTCCTTGTGCCCTCAATCTTTCCCAACATCAGGGTCTTTTCCAAGAAGTCTTCTCTTCCCATGAGGTGGCCAAAGTATTGGAGCCTCAGCTTCACGATCTGTCCTTCCAGTGAGCACTCAGGGCTGATTTCCTTCAGAATGGATAGGTTTGATCTTCTTGCAGTCCACGGGACTCTCAAGAGTCTCCTCCCGCACCATAATTCAAAAGCATCAATTCTTCGATGATCAGCCTTCTTTATGGTCCAGCTCTCACTTCCATACATCACTACTGGGAAAATCATAGCTTTAACTATATGGACCTTTGTTGGCAAGATGATGGCTCTGCTTTTTAAGATGCTGTCTAGGATTGTATTACTAGTCATTAAACATGACTACCACATCTGAAGGGACACGGGTGGCGCTGTGGTTAAACCACTGAGCCTCTTGGGCTTGCCAATCAGAAGGTCGGCGGTTTGAACCCCCCCGAAAGAGTGAGTTCCCGTTGCTCTGTCCCAGTTCCTGCCAACCTAGCAGTTTGAAAGCATGCCAAAAAGTGCAAGTAGATAAGTAGGTACCACTCCAGTGGGAAGGTAAACGGCGTTTCTGTGTGCTGCTCTGGTTTCGGTGTTCCATTGCGCCAGTAGTGGCTTAGTCATGCTGGCCACATGACCTGGAAAAA